AGTCAATATCCTTGCACAGGAGTCCAAAACACCAGCGCGAAAACTCCTAGAGGCTTTTTGGATCAATGCCAAAAACCATAGAATGAATAGCAGGGACGAATGCCAGGAGGTCATACGCCACCTGATCCCGTACGTTCGCATCGATTTTTGATGTGGGATGGTGCAGTCGTCAACCACATGCGACTATAATCAGCTGTTCTAAACTTCCTCATTGGAAGTCACGAAAAAGCGGTGGGTTTTTCGAGAAGTTGTTGATCGTGTAATTACCAAAGAGTCTTTCGTCTTCTTGTAAGTGTTATTGAAGCGTTTGGCCTAGTAGATTGTATATCAGCATACCCTTCCAGGCTCTGAAGAAGGCGATACTGCCGAAACGTCAGCTAGCGTTGTATTGTATTGTGTTTTTATGGAAGTAAATGTATGCTGTTCAAAAACCTCGCGATTGCTGAACAAGAAAACGACGCATTCATATGTCGGCTTCATATGTCGATGAGGTCGGCTCTGTCATTCTTCATTGAATGCGGTTATCAGCCTTTTTATACACCTACGAAAACTGTGCACTTAATAAGTGATCTTATTGATCCGATTACCCTAAATATTTCTGATTCACCCAACCTTTTATGTTGTAAATAAGTTTCTTCTTTTCTTTCTTGTAAATTCCAAGTTCTACTGCAAGTTTTCCCTGTAAATAAGTTACTGGTTTTATTGACTGAATCGGCAAGTCCTTTTCCTCGCAGTAGAAGTTCTTCATGAGACAGATAGAAAGAGGGCATTTAAAATGGAATAAAGGTCTACATTTCTTTCAATGAAGTAGATGTGTATTTAAAAGACAACCATTTACTCTTCAGTTTACATCAATTTTATGGCGCCCAAACCAGAAAGAAAGAGATAAAACTGAAGGAAAGGAATAAAATAAAACTCACAGAGGTATGAACGCTTCCGTAGAGACAACGAAATTTTCGGTCATTTGTGCCATTAGGCATGTCTTTAGGAACATAACAGCCAGCGTTTGCAAATATCTGAAATAGCACTGATGAAACTATTTTATTCTATAAAAATACAGAGAGAAGGAAATCGAGAAGTAAAGAAGTATAGAGCGAAACAGACAGAGAGAAGAGGTGATGGAGAGATGTGGACAATCTTGCGAAGAGGAAACATGAGCGTTCAAGGGATCTCGGTGTCGAAACAAGTACTTTAGTGGCATGAATAAACCATGATTCAATCCACAACACCACTGAGGATCACCTCTATCACCGGTAGTCCCGTTGATCGTCGAGTGTCTCGAGCGGGCACCAGTAAATCTTCCATTTTCCCTGTCGCTTACAATAGCAGCCCAGTGAGTTCTGCTCGCTCAAGAGACTCGTCGAGCATCATATCTTTCTTCTAGGCTCTTCCTGAAGAACTTTGACCATCGGATGGGTAATTTTCCCGCAAAGCGTTTAACATCCCGGAGGAATCCAGTCACTTACGGCTCTTGTCCATCGGTTGTCATTCGTACGCATTACGTATCCGGCTCACCTCATCTTCGACTATTTGACGTACAGAATGGCATCTTCGATTTTTGATGGTTGATGCAGGTCGGAGTATCGGATCCCATCCCTTACTTGTGTGAAATGGGACACTCCTAGCATCGTCCTATAGACTGCGCGTTCGATAACACCGAGTGATCTTTCATCCTACTTACGCATCCACCAGATTTCTGACGTATACGTTAGAACAGGAAAGACTGGTGAATCGAAAAGGTGGGCACCGAGTCGGGTGTTCTTTATTCTCTTCACTACATCCTCGATGCTCTTGGAAAGTCCCCAAGCCGCTCGTTTCCTTCTGCTCAGTTCTGGAGCTAAGTCGTTCATCATATTGATTTCCCGAACTAGATAGACATAGCTGGAGCATTCGGAGATATTCGTTCCGTTGAGCGTGAGTGGGGCGTAAGAAACCAATCCGTTCACCATGAACATCGTTTTTGTGAGATTTAGTCGAAGACCAATCTTTCCACATTCTTTGTCAAAGTCCTTAAGTATACGTTCCGCTTGGCTAATGTTTGGTGTTACGAGGACGATATCATCAGCAAAGCGAAGATGATGCAACAGCCGACTATCGATTTTCACTCCCATGTTGTCCCATTCCAGTGTTCGCATGACGTTCTCGAGGGTAGCGGTGAATAATTTTGACGAGTTGGTATCGCCTTGCCTAACTCCTCTTTTGACGTCAATGTTAATATCGTTGTAGAATGGTGATACCTTGGTTGTGAAATTTTTGTGCAACTCACGAAGAATCTTTATGTACAGAGTAGGGACTCCTTGACTATCAAGGGCTTCTAAGACTGCTTCTATCTCAACTAAGTCAAAGGCCATCTTCAAATCGATGAAAGTGATAAAGAGCGGTCATTTGTACTCTCGAGATACTTCAATGAGTCCTGCTAGCGTGTGGATGTCTATCGCAATAAATCCTTTTAGAAACCCTGCTTGGTCACACGGCTGCTTAGAATGACTCGAGTGAAAAGTTTGTAAACGACAGACAGCAATCAGATTGGGCGATAGTTGCCGATATCGTATAGGTCACACTTATTGAACAATAAGACGGTCTTGCTAGTCTTCCACTGAGTAGGGACATTGCATTCAGACAGGTAACGCGTGAAGACCCTAGCCAGTATGTTTAAGAGGACAGGCGGAAGGTTGTTCAGGTGTTCTGGTCTTATTCTCTCCGAACCTGGTGCTGTTCGATTTTTCACCGGCGAAATTGCATGTTGGATTTCGGAAGGGAGAACCGTACAGCATATCCCACCCCCTTCATTTCATACGACGGGAGGTGGGCGTGGTTATCGAAGAGATCTGACTAGTATTCGTGAATGATTTTCTCCATTGCTTTTCTTGGCACTGTAACTGCTCCTGGGCGTCGGAGTGCAATCATCTTGGTCTTGTAATTGGCGAAGCTTCGGTGGGCTTTGCGAATGCTTTTCCCAGCCCCTGCAGCTTCGACCGTTGCTGCTGGCCCTCTCTCTTTAAGATCTTCTTTTATCGCCTGTCTGCACTGTTTTGTAAGTCCGGACGTTAGTTCGCGGTTGCCTGCAACTCGTGCGATTCCGCGTTGGCATATCAGCTCCAGTGTTTCTGGAGACGGACGTCTCTTAGTGACTTTCGAACTCTCAGCTTTCATAGCGCCAACGTGAAGATGTTGAATGTGCCGATAGTATTTTTCGTCGATGTTATCGACAGCGGCATCTTCCCAGCAGACGACTAATAAATTGGATAAATCCCAGTTTGTGGTGGTTCCCGGATTTCGGTTTTTGAATTTTGCCGCTTTTTCTCCTTTTCGCGAGAAATAGAATCTACTACGAAGGAGACGGTGGTCTGATCCCGTGTAGAATTTTGGGATAACAGCGACATCGGTTAGGGAAAACCTTCTAATTACTACGATGTGGTCTATTTGGTTATGGCACTCTCCATTGGGAGACTCCCACCTCCAGCGTTAAGGGTGGGGCTTCTGGAATTGCGAGTTACCATGGATGGTCTTGGTCGTCATGGTAAACACAGAGAGCCGCCCGCCCTGCTCGTTCCATTCTAGTCCGTGGGTTCCAATTTGACGTTCTTCAGACGTTCTTCTTGTTCCAATCTTGGCATTGAGATCTCCAATGATGACCATGAAGAATGTGCGGTCTTCCCTGTAGAACTTCTCCAAGTCCATTTAGAACGCTTCGACTTTTTCTTAGTCATAGTTTGATGTCGGTGCGTATCCGATTCGGGTTGTAAGTTGTTCGAATGAATCGATGTTCATGGACAAACTCGTGTTGACGAGAACGCCGACGCCGCTGACTCCTCTACTGGCCCATGTTCCGAGGAACAGTTCTTCTCCGGTGTTATAGACGGCGTTGAATGGGTGCCGTCGTCTCGTCTCGGCCATGCCGATGACGTCGTACCTTATCCTTCTTGCTTGCATCAGCAAATCCATCGAGGACTCGGATGTAAGTGTACGTGCATTGTAGGTACAGATCTTCGCCACAGTTCGTCGTGAACCAGGCAGTTTCCATTAGCACTGAGATTTTAGCAGCCTCTTCGTACTCTTCCTACCTACCAACGCTGCGAAATTGGGGGCCCTTTCGGGGTGGGGTTAATGAAGCCTCTTCTTTTACTGTTTAGCATTTTTGATACTCACGTATAGCTTGCTGGGCTCTGAACGTGGGGCTGGGTATACTCACGGGTAGCTTGCCAGGCTCTCCCAGAGTGGACATGGAGCTTATTTGCTGGAGGCGACTGCGAACCACCTCCCATATACTTCCCAGTCACTTGATTGCAGGCTCTTGGCCGAATGGGCTCGTAGAATACAATCCGCATAAAGCGAGAACGCACCCACACACGCGTGCATGAATACACCTAGCACATACAGAAAGTAATAGAATCCGCATAAAGCGAGTACACACGCACACGCGCGTGCGTGAATACGCCTCTCAAACACGTATGTGCCAAATCGGCGCAGCAGAAACAAGGAGTCCATCCCCTGGATGCACTTGCTTCTCAGGAAAGCAAAGGTCGCTTTTGGTCCGCGATTAGCCCCCTATCTGCCACTTGGGGACGCGCCACATAGCCTCGCGACTAACCGGCTCAAGATCCTTTATAATAGGGAGATCCGTGGACTACTGAGGATAGTTGGAAAAAATAAAAAATAAGCTATAGTAAACAAGAATATTAATTATAACTACATTATCGAGTGCATAGTGCAATTGAGAGGTGCAATGCGATACCCACATGACCTTTGTTTCGACTCCGCTCTGCCATAACCAATTCCTTCCTATCATTGAAGTCCACTAATGGATTCACGTTGTTGTGGAATAACAAAAATTACTGAATCCATGCATCCGTAGCCTATCGCGAGTTGTTATATAGCCCAATTATGACTGAGTTCGCTATACGATTCTACGAACAAGGTGAAATGCAAGGCGCACACTCGGGAGTCGATCAGTACTGAGCGCATTATTCCCTATCCTCTATTACTGTTATATTACAATTTTTTTAGAGTAGGTCAGACAAAGAAGGTAGTAGTCTGTATGTTCCTTCACAACAGCATATTTCGTCCATACTTTTATATTCCAGAGATTCTCATTGATGGAATTCCTCAAGCCTTCTAGTCACTTGACAACATGCAGTTTTCTTGACCACCTCAACTATCATCAGTTGAGTACCTAGTCGGGCATACGAGTGTACTCAGAGCACAGATATCGTATTTGCACTAAGCTAGGTTAACATCTCGTACAAATTAATTTAATCATATTCATGCGTGCACGCGTTGAGTGTGATTGTGCGCTTGCCGACTGGATTCTACAAATCTACTCAGCAAATGGCCTCCATTCAAGTGACTGCGAAGGATGCTTAAGGCGATTTGCGATCGACCGGAACAAGTACGCCCCAAATTTAGTCTGCAAAAACTTGCCAGTATTTCTTTATATAGTCTCTGCCTAAATAACCCACAAAAATCAAAAGCCTTGAGGAGAGAAAAGTGCAGTCGACTCCGCATCCATCTAAAGCTTGCTTTACAAATCTGGTAAGCGATATAAAGGAAAACAGCCATTAATGCTAACTGTTCAGGTTATTCAAGTATTAACAAGACAAGTTACAGAGATGATTTTTATATTCTGTTACATTTTTAGCGTTTCTCTACAGAAAGCATGTATACGCCACTGGTAACATTAAGCAATCTATCTCACGTTCCATTTATAGCATCGCGAGTTTATTTTTCGGTCAAGTCCTTCAGTGAAAAGCCTTGACAATTTTAAAGCAAAACAAACATAAAATCTTAGACACAGAGCTGCAGAGCAGGAATTTTCCATAGATTGTCAAAAAATGAAACTCCGAATGAAATAACAAGAACAGTCCAGCAACAGACTGCGCCTATAGAATTGCAAAGAACAAAATATTAAGAACACCAAATTGCAGTACCACCGACCTATGAAGTGCGTATTAAAGTGCTAACCACTACACTACACGCTCCCGATCAACAAATTAAAGCCAAAATATGATATAATTGATATAATGCATTGAATTTATTAGGTTGAAATGGTTGAGTGGTTGAAATGAAGCTCTAAGAAACGCTTCCTGATTTATCGATCAGTCAATGACAATGGATTCAGTGAGTAAGGCATTCTGAATGTATGGAGTACCTTGCATGCTATTGTCTACAACTTCTCACTCTTTTACAATCGGAATTCGTAAGCGGTATTGTAAAGAATTGTTTATAAATCGTAACTTTTTAATGGAAAAGAATTGAGTCAGTTGAATAGACCGATAGAGAGAAAGGGTGAGAGAAGCAAGTAGGTAGAAAGACGAAGACAAAGACAGAAGGAGAGACGGGAAGGAGAAAAAGAAGACAACGAGGAAGAGAAGGTAGTAAGTTATGAGAAAGTAACGATAACCTCTATGCCGCAAAAAAGCCAATCGGTGCTGTCATTTGTTTAAAAATTTCGTATGGAGTTAGTTGTTAGAAAAATTATATAAACAGACGTAAGGAAAACAGAACGTGGGATGAATAAATATCGATGACTGGTTGAGAGCATTGAGTAAAAGTGAAAGTACTCGTAAAAAAAGACTTTGGTGAAATACCATCGATCCTATTCATGGGAGTGATCGTGGATTCCTTGGTGGTCATCCGGAAAGAGGGTTAAAACGAAAACCAGAAGCAAAAAATAAGCTAGGGTTTATTGGTCCCATACGGATTCAGATTCAGAGAACCAATTCCTGAATGCGACTCTCTGGACTCACTTGTACTTTCCATATTACCATAATCATTTTTATGAAGTGTTGATGATTGTAGGTATGTTTATGGGAGTGGAATGTTATTCTATATGTCGAATCGACAACTGGCTTGTAATGTAAAATAACTTTCGAAAAATACCGCACCCACGTACACTTTCTAAGTGGAGGGTTGAGCCACCAATTAAGATACTAAGCACCCTCTTCTTCAAGAGAGACCCAAATGCAATACGCGTATCCCTGGCCATGAGTGTAATCGGAATGAACGGGAACTTTGAAAGTTGAACTGATCGCGGTCTATACAGCAAATACTAAAGAACACTAGGTCGTTTGAACAATTAACACCGCCGGTGTTGACGTTCTGGATGTAATGATTTCATCAGAAGCACGAATATGACATTTCCCAGAGTTGATAATGTCGACGAAATGACTGGCCACATCTGTGGAAGCTATTCAATACACACTGACTGACTCGTAATAGATCTAACAACGGTTTACACTATTGTAAACTAACCTTCATTTAACCTCAGTTTGAATGATCAATGTAACATTGATAAGCTAGCACGAGGATGTTGCCAAACATTTAATCGGTTAACGTTCCGACGTCATCGTCT